GGCTTAAGTCTGGGACTCTCCGCCATTTGAACCTAGAACTGAAGAAGCTTCTTGGATGAGAGGTGAGACATCTTTAAGCAACGTAAAGAAGTCCAAATGCTTTTCTTTCCAAGCTCCTTAGATTATGATAATCTGGATGACTGAAAACCTTCACAGACAAACAAACATCAACAACCAGGAAGCAGCTTCACCTCTGATCACACACACACTCAACTCTACTCACTCACCTGGACGAACAACATGAAGGTTGACAACAGTGATGAGGTCACTATCCAGTTTAGCTCTCCTTCTGTGTTTTGCTCCCTTCATGAAGACGCAACACATGTATGTTCCAGTGTCATTAATTGTCACATTGTTCAGAATCAAAGACACATCTCCATCCTTCATTTGTCTGTCCTGCAGATCCACTCGGTTCTTAAAAGATGGATGCTGGTCATCTGGAATAAACTTCTGGTCCTGGTAAAAGAAGACATGTTCTGTCCCCAGATCGGTTCTGCTCCACTCTATAACCACACTGGGATCACTGTTGAGGTTTGGAACTTGACATGGCAGAATGGCTGTCTGTCCAGCTGTCGTGTTTATCTGGACTGAAGGACAGGAAACACCACAGAGCAGAGAGGTTAAAAACGTCATAGAAAACATCAGCAACTAGGAAGCAGCTCGTTTTTTGATCAAAAACAATTGTAATAACTCACCACGAGGAAGAATCTTAAGCTCGATTGTACAGGTGTGCTCTGTTGCTCTCTCCCTCTGGTTTGCTCCTTGCGTGACGACATGGCATTCATATGTTCCACTATCAGCAGGCGTCACATTGTTCAGAATCAAAGATACATCTCCATCCTTCTTCTGCCTGTCCTGAAGATCCACCCGATTCTTAAAAAACGGATGCTGATGATCTGGAACAAAGTGCCCATCCTGGAACAACAAGGCATAACCTGCCCCCAAATCAGATCTGATCCACTCTACAACTATGATGGGCTTCTGATTGTTGTGAGCTCGACATGGCAGAGTGATGTTCTGTCCAGACTCAGCTGTGATGTTTATCTTGTCTGAAAGAAGAAATAAAAGAGAGGTAAAAGTTAGAGAGAGAAAATAGAGATAAAGCTAATGGTATCCATTTAAAAAAATCCAATGTTGCCTTGTTCTCGAGTTACCGCAGTCACAAGATTTTTGGAAAACTTGACTTCTGACCAAGGTCTGGTCAAACTCATCTTCATTCTCACATTCACATACTTCATTCTCCAGGCCGGTGCCCACCTGCCTAACCAGTTGACAACAATACCCCATCAGCCTTTTAAAGCTAAGGCATCAGTTTGAAAGTCCTCTTTCTCAAGTTATCTTGTTCACAAGGCTGGGTGTGGGGTGCACAAAGGTAAAGTTTATGCAGACTAGAAATAAGGAGCCTGATGTAAGAGTATAGGTAATGATCGTTCCAGTGCAGTGTTTGTGTATTATCTCGAAAGTAAGAGTCACAAGGTGCAAGCAACACAAAAGTTTCTGGCTGATACAGCCATGTATGGGCAGATTAAATGTATCATATCAGAACAGACTTTATGGGGAAAACTTATCAGACTCTTCTTAGCAAAACTGGGATCAGACATGAGACCTAAGAACCACACACAAAAGAGTACTGCTAAGCAAAACTGGCATACACTTTTTGACGTGGCCAGATGTATGCTAACAGAGAGAGAGTTACTTAAGGAGTTTGTATGCAGTACAAACAGCAGCTGTGGTGAGGAACAGATGTTTTAACAAACTCACAAAACAGACACTGTAGTTGGTGCTGACAAGAAGAAAGCCAAAACTTTTCAAGATGCAAACATTTGGAACAGCATATTATTTTTTATAAACAGAACAAGAGAAAACTAGACTCAAGGTGTGCAAAGGGAATGTTAGCTGGAAATGACAAAAATATTTCAGCCTTCTGGGTCTTTTATCCTAACAGTGGGAAAGTGCTCAGCCACAGACTCGTCATGTCTGTGATGAAAACAACTGTGGGAAGACAAACACAAACTGACACGATGCCATGTGATAAAGATGACTTTGAGATATAAAATAGGACTAAAAAGTTGAAGTCAGAAGATGGGTGTAGACTTTGAAGAAACTTTCTCTCCCACTGCTTATCTGACCACTATCATGGTGTCTATGCAAAGAGCAGTCCAATTAAACATGGTTTTACATCAGATGGATGTTAAAACTGCCTATCTACGCACACCACTAAATTGTGAGACATACATGAAACAACCAGAGAGCTAAAAAGTAGCTGAATCTGATACACATGAAAGGTTGAAATAGTAACTGTATGGGCTAAAACAATCAGGCAGAAGCTGGAATAAGATGTTACATGAACATAAGAGTGGGAACAACTTTGTGCTCTTCAATTTTATGGTTACACATGAACACCAAAGAATGAAAAGGTAATCTTGATAAAATGGGTAAATGGCCTGATCATTGACGCCAGCAATAACAGCACACTGATTGTTGTGAAGGAAATGTAGGCAGGAAAATTCTAAATGAAAGATTTGAGTTAACTGAAACATTGTATTGGTAGTGATTTTGACCAGAGAGATAACTATGTGAGGATGTCACTGAAAAAATAAAAATATGTGGGGAAAAAAAATCCTTGAAAGGTTTAATATGCAAGGTTACAAAGCTAGAGCGACACCTTGTGAGCAAAAACTGAACTACACTGATGGTGTAGAAAAGATGAACGATTTCCAAAGGTACAGAGAGGCCGTCTGATCAGTGCTGCAATAAAACCAGAGTTCTGAGCACATAGATTGTGGGGCTGATGTAACAGACAGAATGACACAGCAGAACTGGTTACTGTATAGGCCTGGCTGTGAATGATCATCAGCAAACCACTGTGTCATTATCCAGCTGTGAAGCTGAGTACATGGCCTTAGCTACAACTGTACAAGAGAGTATGTACTCATACAGCTGTTCGAAGGTATTGATGGACCTATGCACCACCTAAGGTTTATGAAGACAACCAGGGTGTGATAGCATTGGCAATGAATCCTTTAACCGGACAGAGATGCAAGCATAGTGACATAAACTATCACTTTATAAGGTCAACTGTAAATGAAAGGAAAATTATTTTGGATAGCTGTCCAATGGATGGATGTGATGACAAAACCTGCTACAAAAGTTAAGTTGTTTAAATTTGAATGGTTCATGTTCATACCATGCATAAAAAAGTTTTATATGATACTGGGTGAGAAACCTCCTGTTTTTAGGAGAATTACAAAGTGAGAGCAAGTGGAGGTGTTAGATAAAAATATGCTCTAAACTGTAAGAAGGACTTTCTTTAGTATTTTCTAGACACAGAAAATGTTTGAGCTGATGTAGAGAGCATATAGAGGAAAATGGAAACAGCCAATAAAATCATTGTGTGGCATGTGACGTGCATGTGGCTGTCAATAAAGTTACTCTCTCTCTCTCTCTCTCTCTCGGAGCGATGTTAAGTCTAAAAATGGCGGAAGGCTGTTGTGTGTTTATTCCTCCGTAATAATCCTCGGCGCAGTCTCGATATTTACACCAGAATTCCTGCACATTTCTCCTTCGCTAATACTTTCAAATAAGAAAATATGAATGCTGCAGAAAATCGTTAATGTGGTGATTTATCGCACAAAGCGGTAAAACAAAGATTTTAATTACAGTTAATTATTTTATCACTGAGCGCGCTTCAGTGCTGCTGTGAAGGTGGCGGCAGCACTGAAGCGCTCTGAAACCATTTAAACATAAAAGCTGACTGTCCCACCGCCAAACGTGGAAATCACTCGTTTGCAGAACAAAGTCGGATGAATGTGACTGATTGAACACATATTCTTGGTGTGTGTTCTGCGTTCTTGTAACTGCGACAGCAGTAGAGTAAGGGCGTTTCCACACCTAAAGCTCGTTTACTCTGGTCCCAATCCCAGTTTCTAAACTGGTGGTTTGGTTTGTTTTCACACAGAAAAATCAAAGTGAACTCCAAACAAAATGCGTCACTACAAACAACGTGAACATGTCTGCAAAAGTTTCCGTCAGAACAACATTTAAATGAGATTAGATTAAAACAAACTGTCACTTACCATCGGAGCCTGAGGCGAGAGTCACAGAGAGTATGATCCACGGCACAAATCCTGCGCGGAAGATGTTACACATGTTCTCGGTGACATCTCTATAAACATCAAACAAAGTTTCCAAAGTTTATTCCAAATACAACTCCATGTTTCAGCTTCTGTTTTACAGCGTGCCAGAGGATCAATACTAGGCTGCGTATTGATACTGAAACTTTAGATTTGTAAGTTCCTGCTCTGAACTTGATTTGGATGTTCGAAACTCAATTTTTAACGTCACTGATTTGAGCTAAATGTGTATTTTGTTATTAAAAGAGGACACAGAAGGAGACGAATACAATACGAAGAAACTCCAGGATAAAAAATACCTGATATGGGAACTATGTATCCTTCCGCTGAGACGCCTCCTCCTGGGATCACCTCACGGCACGCAACGGAGTCTTACAAATGCTTTTGTTCGAGTTGCGTCATTTTTTTTTCTATTCCCGTGCAGTTTTCTGACTCTTTGGCGACTCACTGTTGTTGTTGTTTTGTTTGTTTCGTTTCGTGTTGTGGGTGTGTGTGTGGGGAAATTATTGATCAGTGAGCAGATTAGTGGTCAACATGCATGAAGTTTTTCAGCCTCAGTGGGAAGTCATTAAAGCAGAGAGGTGCAGTCGATTAAGCAGTATTCAAACAACGTCTCAGCCAAACAGCTTTCAGCTACAGGAAGATGCAAGCTGTTTCCACGAATCTGCAACACGATCAACACAAGTCACGTTAAGATAAACATTAAACAAAGTCATTGGTAGTCATTCAGGTTCAAAAAGAAAAGTTTGCTCTCTGATCTCAAAGGCATCATACTGTCAGTGAAGGCATCGTACAAGTACTGACATGTTTTCATTCATGTGGATTTATTCTCTGGGGATTCCTGAGTTAATTCAGCCACTCACAATTTATTTTAACAGTCAATGAGGGCATCAAATTATTCCTTTATAGTTAGTTATCATTCTGTTTGAGTATTTGAACGCTTTCTCAAAGCTTTGTCAAACAGTCGAACCATTGCTTTCATGATAACCACAACAACGACATCATGTCACAGAGGAAGAGGAGGAGGGCTTGAGTGACTTTGAACTGGTCAGTGTTGGTTTGATATTACCGAGAGTGGCATGAAGAACACTGTCCTGTCCTCCCTGTGATGGAGGGAGATGACGTCACTCTGCTCTGTAAAACAAAGACCACTCCCTCCAACCTCCCAGCTGCTTTCTATAAAGATGGCTCCCTCATCAGGAAGCAGCCTACAGGTCACATGACCATCCAGCATGTTTCCAGGTCTGATGAAGGCCTCTACAAGTGTGACATCAGCGGTCATGGAGAGTCTCCATCCAGCTGGATCACTGTCACAGGTGAGGATCTTCACTCTGATTTCATCTTCCTTTGTCCATATATTCAGTGAACAAAAGTCTGCAGGGAGACATACAACCACATCCTCGCCCACCAGCTCTACAAATAGGCCCCCTACCTCTTCTTTGACCCCATCCCCCACCACACTCCACCTTGTGATGAGACTGGTCTGTCAGCTGGTTATGTTCTGTCCATACGTCATCTCCACTCTCCTTGTGGTGTCTTTATATCGACGCAGAGCCAAAGGTAACTCTCTGAGTAGCTTTTGTTATTTACTAAGCTCGATTGCTTTTACCTGATTTAAATATGTCTTATGATTTCATGTTACAGGAAATGACCCTACCATCTCCTTGGAAACAGCAACCAATGATGAGAAGAAATCGTCTGAGGACTATGATGATATTGCCGAGGTGACCGCTGAGCATCCGTTCTAAGCTTATTCTCCATCAGATGGTGGTTATCAGGTCACTGTGACTAAATGATTTCATAAAAGTTATCATAATACGAGGCTTTGTTTGTGTGAACTTTTAAATAAAGTTTTGATTGTTCTATCAGCTCACATCCTTTTCTTCTTTTTTAATGTGTCAGTTTGACAGAAAGAGCTCGTTGACGTTGATGTTACTTTGTCCCATTTTTATATTATAGGTTTTATGTTAGCGTCAATGAAACAGAAGATATGCAGGGTTGATCAACAACAACACAAGTACATGTCAGCAGTTAAGATGACTGTGGTATTAAACCCAAAAAAGCTCTGCTGCCTTGTATGTTTGGCAGAAATAGAAAACAGTGATGTCACATCATTAATAACAAATTGATTACCTGATTACCAAATTCAGAAAAATAAATCAAATCAAAACAAAAAAAAATATATATATATACACAAACACAACATTTACACCTTGAGTCAGATGGGCTACAACAATGTCATGAAAGCACTGATCCATCCTTCCATTTATCAGCAGGTCAGGCTGCTGATGGTGGAGATGTAGAGGTGTGGGCCATATTTTCTTGGCACACTTTGTACCCTTCCTTGAACGTTAAAATGAGGTCACTGCACTCAGATCGTTTCAACAGTCACCAGATCTCAACAGACGACCTTTGGTTGAACTGGAGGAAGACAAATCTGAAGCAAATATGTGACACTATCATGTGAACATGACTGAAAAATGTTTCCAGCATCTTGTTGAATCAGTGCCATGAAGATTTAACACAGTTCTGAAGGCAAAAAACGGAGTTCCATCCCAGTAGAAGCGAAGTGTACCTAATATAACGACCTATACATAATAATGTTTGATCTTTTGGCTGTTTACATTCTCGCACTTTGTTGGTCTTGTTTAACTCCAGCATATCATCTGGTGCACTTTATCAATTATTAATTCATTTATTCAATATTAAGACAGAAAGATATTAAATGTTTAAATATAAATAATTAATTATACTGTACACTACCATATGGAGCACATATCTGATATGCTTTGGCATACCAGAGTCTGCAGCTCACTGACATCAGCAGCTACAGAGCATCTCCTCTGCTGCAGCATCTTCAGGACAGAAGCAGCTCCCAGTGTTGGTGAACTTCATTAGAGCAGATGATCCACACTCTTCATGGTTTACCTGTATCATCTAACAGCACAATCTCAATTGCCAGGTACAAGGTCCAAAACAAACTATGTGTAAAAGAGAATGTGGGTCTGACAAAGGAAAGACAGCTGTGGCAAAAATGCCAGTCACTATAACAGATGAATTTAATTTTCTTGGGGATGGCGTCCATCATATTCTACAGAAACTTGCACAGTTTTGTTTCCTTGTCTTGGCTCAATATCTTTTGTGTAGTGTTGGCAGGAAGACTGTGACAGGTCAACCCGTATGAAGCCTTCCCTGTTTTCTGGATAAAAAAGACTTTAGAAATGTGTTTCCCACACTGATGACTAATCACAGTGTCGGTCTTTGTCTCAATAAGAGAAGTTTTATCTGTTTCTGACAGCAAGTCAGTGGTTAAAGCAGCCTGATTACCGATGCAGTCACTCATCAGAAATCAGACCACCTCCAGCTCACTTCCTGTCAGCTGAACCGCAGTCAGGTACAGAAACATGCACGTTGTTTCCACAAATCTGCAACACGACCAACACAACAGATGGCTAAGACAAAAATGAATCAAACTATTTGATAATTAATGTTGAGATTCTCTCATAGAGGCAGGATACACCCTGGGCAGGTTCGCCAGTCTTTAACTATTTTAAAGGGTTTTTTTTCTCATTTTTGTTGCAGACTGACAGAGAAACCTTTGCTTCCACTGAAAACCACAACACTGGTATCCTGTCAGAGAGGAAGAGGAGGAGGATTTGACTTTGAACTGGTCAAAGTGTTGATCTGATATCACCAAGTGTGGGATGAAGAACGCGTCTGTGCTGTGCCTGCTCTGTAAGTACACTGTAAAACATCTACTGGTTCTTCATCACAAACATCCATTATGGTGTACAATCAGAGGTGTTTTAGATCAGTTTTGATTGAGGAGACTGAGGCGAAATATTTAACTATAAGTAAATACAGTGCAAGTGACCGATATAGAAATATTGCAGCAATAATACAGATGGGTGCACAGGAGTTTAAACAAAGTCTGAATACAGTTTTAAAATGTGATGAATTATGTTTTTTTTGTTAAAGTCAGAATCCTGCTTTAGAATCATACAAAAGCAATATACTTAAAGAAATGGTACTTATTCAGCAAAATCATATAGATGATATTATTGCACCATATTGTTTTACTTAATTGTGTTTCAATGTTTGAGATGGTTAGAACAACTTACATACTACTGAGCAACTTTATAGTTATAGTTATAGCATCACATAGTAAGTAAATGAATGTCAAGGAGTACAATCTTCAAAATATAGTGGAGGAGGAATAGAAAACTACAAAACAAAGGTTTAAACATATGGTATGAATCATACTCTGTAAGTACTTTATATTCAGTCATGTCAACGCTCTGTGTAGGATATAGGAGAATAAACTGTTTCTTCCTCTCTCCACTTATTAGTGTGTAATTCAACCAAACCCATGACGTCTGTGTTCTCCACAGTCTGGTGGTTTCTCTGCTGTTTCGTTGAATGCCAAACTCAAAATTACATGAGTCTCATTTCTCTTTAGTTCTGATGTCACTGCTGAGCAGCTCAACATGTCAAGGTCAGTCAATTTAAACCATAACTGAGTTACACCAATGGTCCTTTTTTATGCTTTGCTGTAGCATGAGATGATAATTATTACAGTAATTGATGGCTGAAGCCTGCTGAATATTTGACCCTCAAAAAAAATGAAGGACGTATATTCACCCTTAAAATAATTCCAGATACGAAAAACTGATCAGTATTTGATAGAGTTGGTTTAATCAGGAGGCAGACAGTCTGAGACTTGAGATTTAAGTGGTTTTAACAGACTAGAAGAAGAAAATCATTTTTCTTGCATAATATCCCAAAACATCCCCCTCACAGCTCGTCTGACTGTGAGTCCCAGCAGCTCTCAGTTCTTTGAAGGAGACTTTGTGTCTCTGAGCTGTGAGGAGGACGACAGCTCTGCTGGATGGACTCTGAGGAGAAACACAAGCAAACAACAGAGGACTCAGTGTGGAGATGAGTGGGGAACATCAGTTAACTCTTCCTGTGACATCAGCTACACCGTTGAACGAGACAGTGGAGTTTACTGGTGTGAGTCCAGAGAGGGTCCCATCAGTAACATGGTTACCCTGACAGTCACTGGTAAGCTGAGTGTGTGGAGTTAGTGTTGATGAAGCTGTGTGTAAATGGATGAAATGCTGTAGTTTGTCTCTGTGTTGAGGTGGATCAGTGATCCTGCAGAGTCCTGTCCTCCCTGTGATGGAGGGAGATGACGTCACTCTGCTCTGTAAAACAAAGACCACTCCCTCCAACCTCCCAGCTGCTTTCTATAAAGATGGCTCCCTCATCAGGAAGCAGCCTACAGGTCACATGACCATCCAGCATGTTTCCAGGTCTGATGAAGGCCTCTACAAGTGTGACATCAGCGGTCATGGAGAGTCTCCATCCAGCTGGATCACTGTCACAGGTGAGGAGCTTCACTCTGATTTCCCCTTTTATTCCATCCACATATTCATTGAGCAGGTGGGGTTCTCTCTGCAGGTAGGCCCTCTGGCTTCAT